CTTTTTGGGGTTTAATTTGATGTATTAGGTGAAAAAAACAGACAAACTCAGAAGGGAGAAGCTACTTTATTAATAATCCCTTTATATCCGCTGCTATTATTGAAAACCGACACCTTACTTTTTCCGTTTTTAGTTGTAAATATTGTAAGAAGTAATTTTCCTCCCAGTTCTTCAGCTGCTGTATACTTTGGCTCGTCACATAAAGTTTCAATAAAAGCCGGTGAAGTCTGGGTGAAAATGTTTAAATAGAGCAGAGAAACCATCTGCACACCTACAGACAGACGGGACATTTCTCACGGCCATACAGGGAGAGGTGGGGTGGACGATGACTCAGAGGACGAAGGCAGCGGTGCCATTCCAAGTCAACACCCCCCCACCCCACCCCTCAGCATTCCCATGTCCCAATCCGACCTCAGCCCCCAATCTGGAGGGACAACCGATGACTCACTGCAGCATGGACTGAGGTTTCCAGGAGGATTTTCTCCACATGCCTCAGATTAACAACCTCCAGAGACGTAGCTGCAACTCGTCTTTCACCTTCCACGTCTTAGAGGGTGGAGTCCGTCTGCGTTGACTAGTTCTCTGTAGTTCCCTGCCAACATCTTAATGTTATCTGTTGCAATAAATATCCTTTTTGTGTCCTAAAAAATGCTGGAAACTTCGTACGTTTCTTTTCAGGGCTTAAAAATAAAGCTTGATGTTTTTCTTGCTTTTTTTTCTGTTTCTGCAGGCGGTTTTCTCCTCCGTTTTCTACTTTGCCTCCGTCCCGCTCTACCAGGGGTTTCTGATTATTGGGTGAGGCAGAAGCTCAGAGTGGGGATGACTTATCAGTCGAATATTTGGATGACTTGATTCCCAGAAGTTTGCTCTTTATTAAACCCAAAATGAAATTCAAGAAGTGGGAAAATTGTGATAAATCTATTCTACATCTTAATGTCTCTTGTGTTGCAGTTATTCCACCATCTACACCATGTTTCCTGTCTTCTCTCTGGTGTTGGATAAAGACGTTAAGTCAGAAGTTGCCATGCTTTACCCAGAGCTGTATAAAGATCTATTAAAGGTATCTATGCAGCTACATGCTGTTTTCTTTATACAAAAATGTAAAGAATCTGTTTTCTGTTAATCTTCTGTTTTCTTCCACAGGGTCGACCGCTGTCCTTCAAGACATTCCTAATATGGGTTCTGATAAGTATTTATCAAGGTAAGCTTTGTTTAAATAAACGTGGCTGATTGAATTCCTCTTTCTAAACGTTTTTCTTCACGTTTGATTATTTAAAATTATTTAAATACATTTATATTTTTGCGTTTAGGTAGATCGCAAATTATATTGTGATCGTAAATTTGGCCATTGCTCAAAAGAATAGAAATGTAGGTATGTAGCAAATTTGCAACAACAGGTATGATTGTCAGAAATAATCATGAAAATCACTAAATACAAAAAGATAAACAGATTTTATGAGAAGAAAATAACACATTTTAACGACTGATTATTAACCAAACATTCCATTTATAATTACAGTAATTAAGGTACAATAAATTAAATTATTAAATAATTAATCAAAAGTGGACTGATCTTATCGAACCATGAACAACTGATAAGTAGACATTTTGTGAAACTAATATTT